GGTAGATATGTCTACAACATGGCTATTGCTAACCATTGTATTTACACTTGGGAAGCTGAGGCAGAAGGACTTCTGTGAGTTTGAGACTAGCTTGTTCTACAAAGTGAATTCAAGGCCAGCCCGAATGAGACCCTGAGACCTAAATGACTCATGAGACCCTGTGTTACCAAAAAAAAAGAGTGACACAGTGGTAGCAATCCAGACTTTCAAAGACTCAGAAGTGACTTTCAGTTTGGACATTTTTAGAGAACCTGGCAGTCCAGCTCTAAAATCCAGGATTATTACACTTATACATTCCTGGGTGAGACGCAAACAACAGCAACAGTAAGCTAATATCAAAGTTGAAATGAAAATATTACAGTAAGAGGTGACAGCAGAGTTCCTTTATTCCAGAAATAATACAATCGTAGTACAGTTATGTAGTCACATTCAATCCACTGAAATATATTCAAAGTATTAATAAAATATTATACATCTTTAATCACTGCCCTAATTAAAGTATTTGGTTTTTATAGGTATATCTAGTTATATTCATTCATATTTGTACTGCTAATTAAACAGTGAGTAAATCTATACATTAGCATAGTGGAGCTTCAATCCTTTATCAAAAGTTTATCAAAAGTGAATGTTTTCTTTTTTAAATACCACAATATTTGAATCCTAAAAGAATAGTTCAAACAATTTAAGGCAAGACTTTGAAACTTTCATAAGACTTTAAATGAAGAAAGGAGCACTTATCAAAGACCATGCCTGTCCTGACACCCAGGTGTCTTCCGAGTGCAGGGAAGAGAGAGGCACAGGGCTTGTCCCACCCTGGGTCCTACAGCTGCAAGCACATGGCTCCTGGGACAGCCAGCATCTGCTGGTACCAAGCAAGTCCCTTCTGGATCAGGGCTTATGTGTGGAATTATTTTTACTCAGTAAAGGTAGGCATAAAATATTGTGATTACACATCAGAATCAGTGTCTTTGTCAGACTCGTTTTTTCAGATTTACTCTAAGGTAAGCTAGAAAAAATGTTTTAAAATTCAAATGATTTAGAAATGACTGATCGTAGTAGTAGTGCAAAGAGGCTCCCCTTCTTTTTGTCTTTTGGTATGGGCTGAAAATTAGCATTTCACAAATAAATAACATATTAAAATATTTATTTGTTTTAATAACCAAGAAAGGCACAAAAGGAGTTAAACAGAAAACATTATCACTTGTTCTGAATTCTTGTTAACTATACAGTATTAAATATACACCTTTAGATATGAACCTAGACTTCTTGTAATTGAGAAGTGAAAGAATGTTTTCTAGCTCTATTATTTGTGCTAAAAGATACTGCTATAACAGACTGCAAAAATGCAGCCTATACTGGGTCCAATTAACAATGACTTTTAACAGTACACTATTTTTTTTTTTTAAACAATGGCTAAGTGACAACTCATGAAATGGAATCAGATCTCAACAGCTTAAGTGAAATTTTCTAGTGCTACTTTACATTTGTAAAGCTACTTATATACATTAAGGAAGTTAACAGTGGAAAAAGCAAACGGTGCTTTGATCTGCATTTTAATTAACTTATTAAATAGACAACACATTTAAACATTAAAAAAAGACATTCATACATAATAATTACGGGTTTTCCTACAAATGGACCATTTAGTGTTAGGCACCAAAAATTTCAAGTTTGTTTCTTTAAAACCTGTTCCACTGACATATCCTCAACCCTTTTAGTTTTGTTCTACAGGTATCATCATTTATATTAAATATTTGCACAGTTCATAAAAATTCTGTCCTGGTCAACTGAATTGGAGACTGTCCCTTTTTCTTTCATGGTACTGTTCATTGAATATATATTTTCAGTTTTCTTGCAAAAGTCAGATTGCTAATTTCTATTATGATTTTCAAAAGTATGTGAATTTCTATTGTAGCTATGAAGGTTATTTCTGATGTTAAAGTTAAGCCAGAAATTGAATAAGTAGTAAAACAATTTTATCCTTAATAGTCACTGTATAGTAATTTCAACCTCATTTTGAATCTCTATATGATGACAAATCTTTCACATGAATGTATAAGAGAGTTTATAAGACAAACTTCCATAAGATCTATATTAATTTTAATATAAAGGTCTATATGAAAATGAGTGTGGTAGTACATGTCTGTAATCCCAGCACTCTGGGAGGGGGAGGCAGGAGAATCTCAAATTCAAATCCAACCTGGGCAATTTAGCAAGTTGCTGACAGAAAAAGCAAAAGAGAGGGTGGCCAGGCGTGGTGGCACACGCCTGTAATCCCAGCACTCGGGAGGCTGAGGCAGGAGGATCACTATGAGTTCGAGACCAACCTGGGCTACATAGTGAGTTCCAGGTCTGTCTCAACTACATAGTGAGACCCTGTCTCAAACCACCCCCACAAAACAAAGAAAAAAAAAAAGAGTGTGGCATTGGTTGGACATGTAGCTCAGTGCAAAGGCCCTAGTTTCCATCCTGTTACCCACCTCCTCCCAAATTAGTCTGCACCTTATAAGCTGGTGGTAGCGATCTGATGGCACACATGCCATGGTGGGCTGTTTGTATCATTGAAAGCTCTAAAAGGTTCACCATCACTGCACTGGGCCCTGTCGTGGGCCTCTTGTGAAGAGTCTGGCCTACTCTTGGAGCTCTTACAGGAAGCAGGAATGGGCATGGGGTGAACAATTTTCATTTGTTTAATGAGGGAACAAAGTATAAATATATGGAAGTAAAATCACCCAATTTCAATTCACACTCTGGAAATAAATGTAGAAGTATAATGGAATGACAGAATTGTATGCAATGACTCGGTGAGTCTCATTCAGTTACGGGGGGGGGCACAAAACAAAGCTTACACAGAATGACATTAAAAAATAATAATTTTGTGGGAAAAAATTAGTAAATGAGCATAATCTTTATCCTTAGTAAGCAGAAAGTGAATATGAAAACGACTTATTGTTTATCAAGTCAGAAAACAAATTCAGAAATGAAGTGCCCAAGAAGCACATCACGTTAAGGTAAGGCACCATTTATTTACAACTTCAGTGATTGGCACTTATTCTGAAAAAAGCTTTTAATAATCATTAAAAAACAGTATTTTCCCCTACTTCTATAAACTACTTAGTAGTTCTTAATATAGCTATCTACTATTTGTGCTTTGCTTTTCAGCCCAGTGAATAGCAGCTGTGTTTTACGATTAACATTCTGCATCTTTCCTTTACTTTGGTGGTTGTGAACATACACAGTGGTAAAGGCTGTAAAAGGTACATTAACAGGAAAATAAACACACTGTGTCTGTATAAGAAACAATCCAGCATAGGTGGCCAAGCTGATGTAGTACTACCTCAAAGTCTTTTTCAGGACTTACATATGTTAAGTTAAGGGTCTATAGCATTCAATAGGATTTTAAAATGTCAACAGCTTCCCAAAAATTTGTAAAAGTTACGACTGTTGGTCCAACAGATGTATTGAAATGCAGCAAATATATTTAAATTTATAATATCTGCCCAAGTATAAAAATACTATACAAAGTTCACAAATGTGTTTGTGCATGCATGTGGTGCATACATTTAGAACTATTCTTGCTTCCAAAGCTCAGAAACTGACTGGTTTACAAGTAGGTTGCGGCAGTTAGCCGATACCACTTAACAGTCTCTTTGCTCAAGTTGAAATCCTTCAAAGGAAGGGTGATTCCACCCAGGAAAAAGTTCTCTCGGAGAGATTCTGCGCTGAGTACGCTAAGCTGAAGTTCCCTTTGTCTTAGAGTTTCTTGGCTATATCCACTGTACACAAGCTGCAGCAAAAGCAAAAGAAAAAAATTACAGTAAATTAAATTTATTATTTGGTTTGCAGGAATATATTCAATGCAACAAAGTGAGAATAGAATATCAGTTACGGAATGATATAATGGATGGCACTGATCATGACATGTAGTAAGGTCTCTGTCACTATTTTGGAAGCTTTTTGTATTTTTAGGAGTCTTGGGTTGTATTATCATTCCTGTGAATGCTTGACATGCAGATGTACAAGGTAGGAACAACCACTGGCTAAAAATTAAAAACTTGAAACATGGCAGGGCGTGGTGGCACACACTTGTAATTCCAACACTTGGGAGAGTGAGGCAAGAGGATCACTGTGAGTTCCAGACCAGCCTGGGCTACATAGTGAGCTCCAGGTCAGTTTCAACTACACAGTGAGACCCTGTCTCAAAACAAACAAACAAAAAAATCTGAAACATGTTTTTTTTTTTCCTGGGATGGAATCGATAGGGAAAAATTACATGGCCATTACCTTAGGATGAGCTAATAGCTGGGAAAGAGGATGAAAGGAAGCAAGTTGGTCATAATACAACTACTTTACAAATACAGAGGGGGATTAATCTTTCTTTTTGCTGCCTCTCTTCATTTACCGCAAGCTGAATAAAAATGTAATTTACAGAGTGCTGCTCAGCTATTGTTTTAAATGGTCATCACAACACCTAACGTTTTCTTTCCAGGAAGCCTTACCACAAGTTCTGAGAAACACCTTGTTAACCTAATTCTTCTTGCTGTTTGGCTAAAATAACTTTAAAAATACCTGTCCACATTTCAACTTTTCTTTTGTTTTTTTTTTAAGGGTGCTTTAAACAATTTATTTAACTGAAATCCCATATACTGACTTCCATTTATTTTGATACATCTTAAAACTAAGTGTAAATAAGGTTCAAATGGTATTGACAGTGTGAAATAGGAAGAAAATGGGTAAAGGGGAAGTGGGAAGGGAAGGGGAGTGGAAAGAAGGGAAAAGAAGAAATGTGAAAAAAGGAAAAAATAGACACAAAGTCTTTGTAAATAGGGAAGGATGAAGGGGGTCAAAGGAGGAAAGGGGTCTGGGGAAAAAAATAAGAACCAAGATATATTATGTAAAGATAAAAGATCCTAGTGATAGATAACTATTGTTTGCTTTAAACATACCAATAAACTTAATGGGGAAATTAAAAAAAAATTTTTTTTTAATATATCCTGCCCCAAATGTAATCTAGAGGATTTTCAAGCCAATAGAAATATTTCATAAATATGTGGCCATTTGGGTATACATTTGCTCAATACCTCACATCTTTCAGTGAGAAAAACACTGAAGAGTAAAGACCTGACACAACTGGGTATATATAATGAGAATCTGCTCCAAATATTGTTTCTCTGAGGTAGAGGCACCACACCACCTGTTCAATTAAGAAAACCATCCTTACAGCACAGTACTTTTTTTTATTTTTTAAGTTGGGCTTAGGGTACTCAGCTGCTAATTAGGAGCTTCATGGCAGACTACACCCCCAGCGTATGCCATGAGTTCACAGGGAACAGGTTCCACCAACTCAGGCTCCTTCCCACTGGTTCTCAGGAAGTGTGCTTCTCTGGGTGGGGCAGGCTGGCGCGTCAGCTGAACCCAAGTCCCTTTCTCTTTGGCTTCCTTCTTTTTTCGATCATTTTCCTCAACACGTTTCAGGAAGCTATCACGACTCTTTGAGTGTTTAATATGCTCAATACGCACATTAATCCTCTTGGCAAGTATCTCGCCCTTAACTTGCTTGTTTACAACAGTGCCACCAGCAGCTGTAGACTCTTCCAGTCTCGCCTTGGTAACATTTGTGTGGCCTTCCTTTTGAACAGTACCCATTCCCTTGAGGTCTACAGTATCACCCTTTTTGCAGATTCCCATGTATGTGGCCAAAGGAACAACTCCATGTTTTCCAAAAGGCCTAGAGAACACACACCGGGTTCCCCTCTCTTTCCCTTTGTGTTCGTCATTTTGGCAAATTACTGGAAGATGGCGGTTCTGGCTGAAAGGCTTTTCTTTTCTATTCTTTGTGGCTGTTTGTTACTTGACGATTGAACCCAGGAAGCAATGAGCTAACCTCCCCCTCCACCCCAACCTCCTTCAGTGATACTGGGGATTGAACCCAGGGCCTTTGCACTAGGCTATATATCCTCAGCCCTTTTTTATTTTGAGACAGTTTCTGGCTAAGATGCTTAGGCTCAGCTTGAACCTGAAATCCTTCTGCCTCAGCTTTCCAGAGTGCTGGATTATGAGCATGCACCACCATACCTGGCTATATTTCATTTTCTTGATAGCATAGCACTTGAATAAATAAGCAACTTTACAAGAATAATACCAACTGGTCTTTGCCAAGCATTACATATGCTTTTAAAGAGGTGAAAGGATCTATTGGTTTTTTTTGTTTGTTTGTTTGGTTTTTTTTTGGTACTGGGGATGGAACTCAGGACCTCGTGCTCCTGCACCACTGAGCTAAATTCCTGCCCTTCTATAGGTTTTAATGAATTCTAATCTTGATGCAAAGTGACTTGCTTTCATCTCTATCTAGACACTTTTGTGTGGGTGCAATGTTAAGGTATACACTGTGTTTACCCAAAAGAAGTAACACAGGTAAATGATGGGGCAAACTTTAGCAGGTTTCATGAGGACAGTGAGTTTATTAGTTGACGAAAAATATCTCTGCAAAGTTATAGATAGGTTCCATATCGTTTAGCTAAAGCTTTATTGGTTTTAATTATGAATATTTTAAGAGGGTTACTTCTTTTGTTGTTTGTTTTTGGTACCAGGGATTGAACTTGGGACCTTGTGCTTGCGAGGCAGGCGGTGGCACCACTGAGCTAAATCCCCAGCCTTTGTTTGTGTTGTGAGATAGGCTCTTGTTACATAGTTCAGTCTGGTACTGAACTTGGGTGATCCTTCTGGCTCAGCTTCCCATGTGCTGGGATAACAGGCATGTACCACCACACCAGCCTAAGAGGGTTACTGAGAGATTAAAACATATTCACATGAGGAGTTGGGGATGTAGCTATGGGCTCAGTGGTAGAGTGCATGCTTAACATGTAGCAAGGCCTGGAGTTCAGTCCCCAGAATTAAAAAAATGAGAAAAGCATTTTGGCTTCCTGAAGTTTTGTGAAATTAAAGTGATGTTGCTGCTTAAAAAAAAGAAAAAAAATTTTTTTTTATTTTTTGGTTTTTTGAGAGAGGGTCTCACTATATAGTTGAGACTGACCTGGAACTCACTATATAGACCACAATGAACTCTTAACTCACAGTGATCCTCCTGACTCATCCTCCTGAGTGCTGAGATTACAGGCGTGCGCCATCACACCCAGCGATGTTTTTCAAACTATAGCCTATCAATGAACAAAAAGGTACTGAAATGTTTTAATAGGAGACATCACAGGTAATTGCAGGAGGTTAAGATTTTAGCTCAGTATAAAATAAGGGGTTTCTGGGTATGGTGGTACATGCCTGTAATCCTGGCACTCAGAAGACTGAGGCAGGAGAATTGCCATGAGTTCAAGGCTAGACTAGGTTACATAATGAGTTCAAAACCAGCCTGCACTATATAGCAAGACCTTCTTTAAAAAAAATTAAAATAAGGGGTTAAAGATATAGATCAGTGACACAGTTTGTGTTTAGCATGTTCAAGGCTGGGGCTCAATCCCAAGCATGCATATACACACACACAAATAAATAAAAATTTTAAAATCTAAGAGTTAGCCAGGCATGGTGGTACACGCCTGTAATCCCAGCACTCAAGGAAGCTAAGGCAGGAGGATCAGACCATCCTGGAAAATACAGTGAGTTTCAGGTCAGTCTCAACTACATAGTGAGAACCTGTCTCAAAAAACAAAGAAACAAACAAACAAAAAAAATCTAAGAGTTGTAGCTGCCTAAGAGAAATTAGATGGCTTTCAAGTATTTACATATAGCACTGAAAGGATAACTACTTTCTGCCCATATTGTAGAGTGGGTTCACACACTAAAATGGTAGTTGAATCATGGCTCTTAATGTCTAATTTTTGTTTGTTTTGTTACTGAGGATCAAACTCAGGACCTTGCACCTTGAAAGGCAGGTGAACAGAACCACTGAGTTAAATCCCCAGCCTGTTTGTTTTTGAGATAAGGCCTCACTATATAGTCCCGGCTGGCCTTGGCAATCCTCCTGCCTCAGCCACCTGAGTGCTGGGATTACAGGCATGCACCATCATGGCTGGCCTTTTTTTTTTTCTGGATACTAGGGATCGAACTCAGGACCTTGTGCTTACAAGGAAGGTGGCAGAACCACTGAGCTAAATCCCTGGCCCACATCTGGCCTTTTAATGTCTTTTTAAAAGCTAATGAGGGCTGGGGATTTAGCTTAGTGGTTCTAGCACCTGCCTCACAAGCACAAGGACCTGATTTCGATCCCTGGTACCAAAAACAAAACAAACAAATAAAAGCTAATGATCTAGAGCCTGCCTTGAAAGGGTAAGGTCACAAGTTCAGTCCTTGGTACAAAAAAAAAACCAAACAAAAAAAGCCACTAATGATCAAGGATTAAGGGCTTTGTCCTACATGACCTGTTATATACTACTGGGTTGTTACTGATTTCCTTTGTGAAACCAACAGTTCAGCAACTGAGCCCTAAAACTTTACATCTAAAATATTTTATAGTTAAAATTCTAAAAACAAATCTAGGAAATTTTGAGAAATGATTTAAACTTACCATTTCATTGAATGTTGGATTCCTAGTTTTTCGTGAAATTTTTGTTTTACGTTTGGATGTTTTGTGGGTATCTGGAAGTAGGTATGTTTTGACATATGGATTTGGGTCAGCCCCGTCTTCAGTGACCTATAAAGAAAAGCAGTCCCTTAACAGTACTGCTTCCCACCAAGATGAGTTTCCTCTACCATTATCTGTAATTACTCACAAGATCCTTGATATGCATCACCATGATGAAGAGAGTGCCATTGCGGTAAGAGATAGATAACTTCACTGCTCCTCCTACTTGACCAGGAGTAGGACTGAAGGGACCTGCACCTGAAAATATGAACACTTTCTTTATTTTATCCTGTATGGAGTGGTTCAAGTTTCAACCAAAGAATGTGGCTTTTCTACCAGGACCACTGCATGTGGAGTAGGGGAAACAAAAAATCTGGTAGGCCACTGGTCAATACTTAGATTTAAAAAGTTTATCTTGGGCCTGGGGATTTAGCTCAGTGGCACTGTGCCTGCCTTGCAAGCTCAAGGTCCTGAGTTGGATTCCTGGTACCAGGGGAAAAGTTCATCCAGAAATATATTGGTTTAAAAAGAATACCTTCCTCCCATTCTCACTGTCTAGAGCCAGTAAGCCCACTGCCACGCCATCACATTTACTGAAAAGCTCGACTGGCAGGATGTGAATTATCCACAAAGATGAAAAAGTAATCTCACCTGCAGACCTAGCTATTCCTTCAGCTTTTTCATCACGAAGTAGAGGGTGAAAAAAAGTACAAACAAGATCACACTATGATTGAAGAGAAAAAAGCTTCATTAGTTTAATTACTATATAGTACAAAATACAGTATGTTATTAGTTTTTATATAAGATCACCTCTGCTACATCTGTGGAAGCTCTCATCAGACTCTGTAAATAACTGTTTAACTCAATTTTTCTTTTGGCTGCTACATCTTTTATGTGCGTTCTTCCTAGAACCATCCTATTAGGAAAGCTACAAAAGAAAAAAAAAACAAGTGGAATTTTAAATTATTTCATTTGGAAATAGCTATAGAATCATGTACAATATGTACCATAAAGATACTTTTTATTTTTTACATACCTGAAGACAAAAATAGTCTTCATCCATTATAAAGTATATTTTGGGTGATTTACTTGCAAAGAACTGTTACCCATTTCCTATTTATGAGCTTTAGATATCTTATGAGCCAAAGATACATGTGTTGCTAGTTTCCTGTATGTATTACTTATTTCTACTACTTCTTCCCATCTTTAGTCAGTCACAAATATTCCACCAGATCTCATCTCCAAGACTCATTCAATCAGCTATAGCTATTATAGACACCATCAAAATTCACAGATGATACAGGAACACGGTGCTGAAAGAATAGTTTCAACTCTACTATTTTGGTATTAGAAAGATGAGACTGTAAATGAAAATAAAATTTAATACCCACTTGGCTTCTCTCCTTACCTTTTCTTCTTCTTTTTTTGTAGCATTATGGTACTTGAGATTGAGCTTAGGTTCTCTGCACTGAACTACATCTCCAGCTCTTTTTTATTTTGAAAGAGGGTCTTGCTAAGTTGCCCAGGGTGGGCTTGAATTTGTAATCCTCCTGCCTCAGACTCCCATAGTGTTGGGATTACAGGTCACTATGTCCAGCACCTCCTCTTTACTTTTGAATCTAGTCAGAAGAATCTGGAGAAGTCTACTGTTCATTAAGCTATAAGTAAAAAAATTTTCTAAAGGGTATTAGATACAAAACCACTAAGATTTTCATTAACCATTTCTGTGATGTCTGCTTCAGTTTATTTTATATCAGAAGAGCTTAGTATGGCCCATACAAGATTATCCTGCCAGTGATTTAGCATGTGATTTCTTGAAACCAAGATTATAAACTGTGTTTCTACTGTGGCAAAGACAACAAAATCAAAGCGTGAACTAAAAGAAACTTATGACTAGTTCTGTGTTAGGCCCTTGTGACACAAAGGAAAATAAGCCAGGTATCATTCAACTATAAATATTAACATAAAGCTTTGCACCTACATTGCAGAATAAATTGTTTCCTACAGAAAAGTATTTCCTACAAGGGTGGAAACATACCCAGGTAATTTCCAAAGTGGAAAAATAATGCTGAGCTTGTTATGAAGTTCCTGAAATTCATCAAATGTCCGGAACACAAATGATGGTTCAAGCTGTCCTTCTCTCAAAATTCGGACAACATATATCTGAAAAGAATCCCATGACAATTCCATTAAATGTATACAAAAACTCCTTTCCTGGCAGAAACTTATAATGCAAGTACTTTTTGACTTGGTAATATATGTCATGAATAGGAAACTCCAAATATGTCATTGTACTTAATAGCAAATATAACTACACTCTAAGAGTGACCATAACCAAGGTAAAATACATAAATAACTTGAAAGCCATTTTGTTTCCAGGATTAAATATGCTAAATATGGATTTTTCTAAATCTATAAATTTAGTGCATTTCCAATGAAAATGGTAAAAAGCCAGGCCACATTTTAAATAGTAAATGAATCGCAAGAAAAAGGTCCTGAGATCAATCCCTGGTAAAAAAAAAAAAAAAAAAAAAAGTAAATGGAGAGCTCAGGATGCAGCTGGGTTCAATCCCCAACACCATGGAAAAAAAATTAATAGAAAATAAAAAGGCAAAAATTTACAAAGTGAGGGAAAAGAAATTGTTTTATTAGCTATTTAAGATTATCAAGTTAAAGTACTTTAAGGATTATAATACTCATGTGAAGTGTCATAACCACAGAAAACCAGAAATAAATTGAGGGATATGTATTTATAAAAATTTAGTATATTTACAAGTACAATTATAAATCACTGGGGAAAGAATGAATCAATAAAGTGGTTAAAATAGTGAAAATGCTTTATGAAATCAATTAAGAAATTTAAAAAACTGACAATACTGAGAAGTATTATGTAACAAAAATATTAGCTCAGGAGCTGCAAGTATAGCTCAGTAGAAGAGGGCTTGCTTGGCATGTATCAGGTCCTAGCTTTGATTCCCAGCATTGCAAAACTGGGAGGAAATTAGAACAAGAATGGAAAATAAA